CACACACACACACACACACACACACACACACACACACACACACACACACACCAAACAGTCAGCGATGAAACTAACCCCTCTCCTCGCCGCCCAGTGACGAAGCCTGCCGCGCAGCGGCAAAGCGGGCGCGAACAGTGGCGAGGGAAACCCCGCGAGACGCCAAAAACAGATGGCTGAAATACGTCACCTATATTTCGGCCAATCACAGAGATGTGCTACATGCTCGCTGTAGCTTCATGTGTTTTTAAATATATATTTTTGACATTATGGTGAACACTGCCTTTGTTGATGATAACTAATTTCACTTTTTGTTTGTTAAGCATAATGATCGGTTATATTGATAAAGTCAACATTTGTAGATCTACTTCTGCTGCTCCTACTTCTACTGATACTACATGATGATCTCCTCCTAGGATCCTCCTCCTCTCCTCCCTCCTCCTCACTACTACTACTACTACCACTACTAACTACTACTACTACTACTACTACCACTACTAACTACTACTACTACTACTATTACTACTACTACTACCACTGTCACGACTATATCTTTTTCTTCTTCCTCCTCCTCCTGCTCCTCTTCCTCCTCCCCCTCCCCCCTCCTCCTCCTACATTTTTAAGCACACATTTGTTGCTCTGTACAAACATTTCCAACATCAAGTTTTTCAAACACCAGTTATTGCACACCCCCCCCCCCCTATTTCCTCTCTACGAGACCCAGAGCACTAAAACTATAAATTGACGTCGTCCGCTAAATAATGCGCAATTCACCTGGTCAGCAAAACTGTGGGCAACCTGTTCATGAAGCTGTGGAATTTGATACCGCTATACCTCTTGTTATGATCATTTATTTTTAACGAGTGTCATTTGATAGCACCTTTTCCTGCGCCTGCCATGCGTAGTCACGAAGTGAGGTCGTGCACACTCTGATGTCCTTGTGTGGTTGTCAGTTGTCAGCTTCACTGCTTATAAAGTTTGTTTTTGTTGGGCTCTTGTTTTTGTAGGGTTTTAGTCTCTTGTTTTTTAACGATATTTTTTTTCAACTTGTACTTGCAGCAGATTTTTTGTTCTTTTCTGAAATTACAAAAGAGAAGACTTCCTGGAATAATTACATTAAAGATCTTTTTATTTTTTAAAATAATTTTTAGGGGGGGGGGGGGGGGCTGGTTCGTTTTAAAGCCCCGAAAGACCCCACAGTAGATGAAGCTAGGACAGTTTTTCTTGCCTGCCCGGGACAGCTGAATTTGATAACTTAGCTAATTTTTTGGGCGTTCTGAATAATAGCTAATGTTATGCCCGCCAAGAGCTGAACTTCAAAATGTGAGAGGTTGGCATAGAGATCTCTCTATATATATGTTGGAAAGTAAAATGAAACGAAGAGTGCTAATTACTTCAATACACTATCAATTATTGAAATGTCATAAATCGTGAAAGGCGACAAACCGGTGGCGTCAGGGAAAGAAAAAGCTATTAGTCATATTAGATATTATAGTGTTCTGTTTTGATTCTTACGGCGCTTGCAACACAATAAGGTCAAACAAGTGCCGAAGATTATGAATTACTACAAGATTGTAACAAATATAAAAAAAAGAGGGAGGTGAAAGAGAGATGTTCGATAGGAGAGGAAGTAAACCATCAGAGCACCTGCCAACCACTCATTCTTGAGAATCATAAACAGACTAGAGGTAGGGTATAACTAACAACTGAGAATTGTTTTTAACTTCTCTTCAAAACGCTTAGAGTTTCGGCGAAATCCTAAGGTGCAGGTTATATAAATCGCATTCAAATGTCTTTTTATAACAAAATAATTATTTGATTTGATATAACTTGGAGATTGAATCTAACACGTTTTAGCAATACATGTACCACGTTTAAAAAAAAAGGAAATTGCATGACATGAATACGTAAATAGACTATATTAGCAAATAAAACTACTACATAACTTTGTACTCATGGCATAATGTAGGCTACCTTACTAACTAGAATATCTATTAACGTGCGTACGTGTCTACCTACCTATCCGTGTACCCACCTACATGTCTACCTACCTACCTACCTACCTACCTACCTACCTACCTACCTACCTACCTACCTACCTACC